CAATTTGATCATTAATAAATCATTGCAGAAGACCTTCTAAAGCACCGTTAGAACTATTCGTGATTGCTATATCTAAAGCTTTCTTACAAAGTCCAAGGCCACGACTGTAAGAAACCTTCTTTGAATCCAATTTGATAGCATCTCTATTATTAATTTCATGCCCACGAATCCTTTCTAACCCTTGAAATATTTTAGTTAAAACCAGTTTATCATCGCTTTGTATTACTTGAACAAAGGATTCTTGACTTTCATCAAATGATATCAAACCTTCTTCAGAGTACCAACGGAAAGGTATTAATTTTATATTAAAAAATACATTTTTTGATTGAATCATTACAACAAAAAAATGCCGACAAACGAATCCAGAATATACTAAGTAGAGACACGTGCAGTAGTGTGAACCATCGTTAAGCAATATCACAAATTGTGAATGATTTGTTGTGCTTTGGATGTGTCGAACTTTCCAAATTTCATTCACACTGCCTCCAGTACAATCTTCTAAAGCCATATCTAATAATATCTGTGGCTCTTCATAATCCTCTTCTATAAATCCTATATCATAATTCTGTTCCTATCAAATAATATAATTTTTAGTTATAGCACAAGAAAAAAAACTAATAAATCTAAACCTAAAAAAGCATATACCTGATTTGTACTATTAAGTTTCTGGAATGTAGTGAACATCTATACAAAAGGCTTTCTAACATTTGCTTTCGTTGCAATACTAATGAATTTTGCGTGAGATATTTCTTACATGTATCATCAACGCTTTTAAAGATCATACTAGAAACATGAGAAAGACCAGTTGTTGGATTCATATTTCTAAATTTCTGAAAACTTGCATATTTTGCTTCATCCTTAAGCCGTAATTCGATCCCAATTTGAAGCTGGCATAGAGAATTTCTAGAGTTTGTCTTTAATTTAATAACCCGGTTTATGCTTTCAACATGTTGACTTGAATGCGTATTTGCTAAAAAACATTGTTTTGTAAATACATGGGCCCAACATTCTTTAGTCGAATACAACACTCTATCACAATATTCTTGAACTTCTGGATATTTGTTCATCAGTTCCATCCAGTGATGATCGAAATCAGAAATTATTAGTAAATTTCACAATGCGTAAAATCAGAAATAAATTTGTTCTATTTATTTTGAAGCCTTAGTAAATGTATTTAAAAATCAAAAAAAATAAAATAAAAATTGAATGGTTTATAGTTAAAATAATAAGTTTGAAACTAAATATTATGATGTTAAAAAATGTTACCTTTTTTTGACCTTTTTTACCAAATTTTGCCAAATATGAAATGCGCAATGCCGAACTATAGTCTCAGGATATTAATTAGATATAGCTACTTGCATTGCTGAATCTGCATTGGTAAAAATCGTTTTTAGCTAAAGATTCCCAGTAGCCAGTTTTGTTTGTTCCAAAATCCATTCGTAAGTTAATATGGTCTCGTCACAAACTATAGCTGTAGCAGCAATGTGACTTTGTTGATCTGAGTCAATTACAATAAAAACGCTTAGAGGCATCATATATTTATTTGTTTTGTATGTGTTATCGTTAATAACAATATCATAAAATCGAGTTCACAGACTTTTCTGTTCAGGCAACATCCAAAAAATCTTAAAAAGCCTGTTGTTAATACCCTCAAAATTGATCTTGAAATACCAGTCTGGATTCTCTTGTTGTAACTTTGATAGATGTTCATACAAGGTTGCAGCATTGTTTTTAACTTGTACGTCAACTTTAAATTTATGGATCATTTTGTAGAGATCTTTACTATATATTTCTTGGTTGGGATACTTATTTCTTAATATCCGCTTCAAAACACTTGCCCCTAAATGATATTCTTGGACATAAAACTGAATCTCTTCTCTAATATTTGCAGGTACCTTTCGTGATGAGGGCAAAAATTGTTAATGTGATTCACTGTTTAATAATATATGATTATGGTTTTCAACAAATTTGTTGACAAAGATATGATTTTCGTGTTTTCGATAAGCAGCATTTAGCATAAAGCCACAATCTATGCAAGCTGATTCCCGTTCTCGATTTTTAGTAGGATCTAAATTTTTTTT